TAAGGGGAAATTTTTATCGCTTATTTCATTAAAATGAATTTAGAAATATTTGCGATCAAGCTATTATTCTTTGCACCCAAGAATTGTCACCGAAATAGCGTTGAAGGCCTAATTACAGGTCCCTGCCTTCCACGACCGGATGAAAGGGAAGTGAGGTCAGCCAGGGTGGGGTGTGTGGGTTAACTGTTTACTACAAAGATTTAAATGATATGCGAGTTCGTGAGTGCGAATACTGAAATCAGTAAAAGAATAAATGAACCAAAGATTCCAACAGTGAGTGAAATTCACAATCAATTAACGAAATTCGTACAAGTAGAGAAGGAATACACAGAATTCGTAAATGATCGCGAATTACAATGTAGCGGTTCCTGATTGGCCATCAATCTGGAACCGCACCTGACCTGTGATTGGCCGACCCCTGCTTCGGGACCGCCCTAATCGGCCGAGCTAACATCGCCGGTCAGGTACTTAAACCGCTGGACCTGAGGTGGAATCAGGGCTTACCTGGACCTCTAGGTACCAAGGTTTTTTTGTTGTTGCTTTCGTGGGAGATTAAAGAGAGCGATTTGACACCCCCACGGCGAGCTCGACGATCTGGCCTTTGTGCTGATAACTTTGGGTGTTATCGTGCACTACCTTGCTTTGAGGCTAGTGATTTTAATTGTAAGCCCAGGGTGCTTGCAATTAAAATCACGAAGCACTATCAAATCAGCTCTTTTACTGCGAGGTGTCGGCCGGACATATAAGGGCTCTGGCCCGTTCGGCAGGGTCCCGACCCCGACCGACCCTAACACACAAAGAGAGCTGTTTTGCCAGTGTGCCTTCCTTTTTTGAAACCCATTTCCACCCTTTCATCGTCCTGTCATTAGCCTTGGCTAGACTCCCTACCTCCCATCATCATCACCCTTACGCGATGCCACCATGGGTCACGTAATCAAATCATATTCTGGAGAGCCCATCTCCTGTGAGGTGGCTCTCCAGAAAATCTTCTCCATCACAGAAGTTGCTGTCACGCACTGCTTCAAAGTGCATAATGGCTACAAAGTTGTTGTTGCCAAGCAAGAACAGCTGACCCCTTTCCTTTCGACTACTGGCCAGAGAAAACTCGCTGATCATGGTTTTAAACCTCTCCCCTCCCCGGAAACGAAGGCTAAGTGCACGGTCGTGGCTAAAAAGATCGACAAGACAATCCTGCCACGATCGTGCCAAGCCATCCAGGAGGAAGTCAGCACCATGAACGATGTCACTGTGGTGGATGTTTACAAACCACCAGAGTCGCGAATCCTTAAGATTCGCTGCTCAGCCCCCGAGGAAGCACAGAAGCTTCTCTCCCGTGGGATCGTGCTGTTTAACACATCCGTCCCCACCTACAACGTAGAAGCCGAGTGCTTTGTTCAGGTCGATCAGTGCCTGAAATGCTACCGTTACAATCACCTGAGACACACCTGCACACACGAGCAGCGTTGCAGCCGCTGTGGTGACCCAGGTCACTTCTTTTCCACCTGCAGCAAGGAAATCAAATGCTGCAATTGTGGGGGGCAGCACGTCGCTGTCAGCGGGTCTTGCCCTACACGAAAAGAAATAATCAAGACTAAAAGACAAACACTCAAACAAAACAAAAACACAACATACGCAACAGTCACCCAACCCTTACAAACAAGCACACCTACCACAAGACAACCAAACACGATTCCCTCAGGAACCACTCTGCCGCCTGCACACTTCCCCCAAACAAACACCTTCACACCAAACAACAACCCAAAAATACAAGCAATACTACACGTAGCTTTAATAGCTGCCAAATACAACGCCAAGAAATTCGCAAACATAGTCCCTATCATGCTTCAAAGAAACGGTTTCCCCAGCATTGTGATTCCTGAGGAAATCTTCGAAGACCAAAACCTGTACATACCTGAATTTCACACACAAACAACACTCACACCGAGGTCAGAGAGGCGACCATGACATCCACACAGCCCTCTACCTCACACGGACTCCCACAGCCACTACCACAACGAATACATAAAGAAACTGCACAAAAGAAAACTACACCAGATACTTCTGACAACAAACGCAAACATACCTCACCACCAGACATGCACACCAAAAAAGACAAAAAAGACCCTGAGCTCTCGGCCCCCGAGGCTCGTCACGTTCACGACGATACCATCTTGTCGGATTCCGACAGTAGCGAGAGCCTCGAGATCGATGTCGGTCTCGAGGAAGGCCCCGGTGCCTCCTCGCTGACTGCTCCCCCCGAGGGAGCAGGTCCTGTTCTCCCTGTCAGGGGAACTTTCGGGAGACGAGGAAGTATCGGGAATTGGTCCGCCGATTCCCGAGAATTCCGAGTCTCCCAGTCTCAGGAATCCCTTCCTGACCTTGACGAGCCCTCGACGGGGGCTCGCTCCCGTCGTTACCGGGAGCAACAAACGCCACACAAGGTGAGACCACAACATCCGGACTCACCATGAGTGGCGTGCTGACAATCGTGCAAGCGAATGTAAGATCATTTTTCAATATACGTAACAATTTTTACGATTTCCTCGATCGGGAATGTCCTGACGTGGTTCTTTTAAATTCCACCTCTATCACTAACTCCTATGCTATCAAACACTTCGGCTACACGTCAAGACAGTCACGAAACGGCTGGTTCGTAGAGTCCTGCATCCTCGTCAAATCCACCCTTCATTTCGAATTCATTTCACCCCCATTCATCCATCCAGACTTCATGGCTGTAAAGCTATTCACCCAGCAGGGTGAATAGCTTTGTTTCTGGCTCTGTTTCTATCCTGTGTTCTTGGCTCCAGGTGTTGATGGATTGAAAATGTTCATTAAAAAAGGGGTGTGGTTCATGAGGATAGAATACAGAGTGCCAGTGATCACGAAAATTTTTGATAACATCCACGGGATCTGAAACTTGAGTGTTGTCCTTGAGGAGGTGACTGAAGGGAGGGAAGTTACTGCCTTTTAACTGTTTAATCTTTTGCCAAAATTCCCGTGGATTGCGAACTCGCATCGATTCTGTTTGTTTAATCAAATTTTGCCAATGAATTTTGCGGTCATTATCAAAACTATCTATGACATGGTTTCTGAGGATAGTGAGGTGGAAAGTTTTATGATCACGGGTATGTGGTCAGAACCGATGTTCGGACCTGGTTGTAGGTGTGTGTGGTAGGGGAGGGCGGCCCTGTTCCCGAACACGAGATCAGGTCTGCCTTTTCCCCTAGCCGTGATTGTGGTGTGGAAGTCGGGTCCTATGTAATGTAGTCCTTTTGTGTTGAAAATAGACAAGAGGTGTCTACCGTGTGCATTCGTGGTTGTGTGGTGTAGTGATATGTGTGATGCGTTGACATCCCCGGCGAAGAAGACTGGAAGGTTATTATAGCTGAATAATTTATTGAAATCTGAAAGTGGCAAGTTTGAATTTGGTCTGATATAGGCCGTGGCAATCATTATAGGGCCCTGCTGGGTGAATAGCTTTACAGCCATGAAGTCTGGATGGATGAATGGGGGTGAAATGAATTCGAAATGAAGGGTGGATTTGACGAGGATGCAGGACCCTACGAACCAGCCGTTTCGTGACTGTCTTGACGTGAAGTGTTTGATAGCATAGGAGTTAGTGATAGAGGTGGAATTTAAAAGAACCACGTCAGGACATTCCCGATCGAGGAAATCGTAAAAAATGTTACGTATATTGAAAAATGATCTTACATTCGCTTGCACGATTGTCAGCCCGCCACTCATGGTGAGTCCGGATGTTGTGGTCTCACCTTGTGTGGCGTTTGTTGCTCCCGGTAACGACGGGAGCGAGCCCCCGTCGAGGGCTCGTCAAGGTCAGGAAGGGATTCCTTAGACTGGGTGACTCGGAATTCTCGGGAATCGGCGGACCAATTCCCGATACTTCCTCGTCTCCCGAAAGTTCCCCTGGCAGGGAGAACAGGACCTGCTCCCTCGGGGGGAGCAGTCAGCGAGGAGGCACCGGGGCCTTCCTCGAGACCGACATCGATCTCGAGGCTCTCGCTACTGCCGGAATCCGACAAGATGGTATCGTCGTGAACGTGACGAGCCTTTTTTGGGTTTCAAAAAAGGAAGGCACACTAACAAAACAGCTATCTTTGTGTGTTAGGGTCGGTCGGGGTCGGGACCCTGCCGAACGGGCCAGAGCCCTTATATGTCCGGCCGACACCTAGCAGTAAAAGAGCTGATTTGATAGTGCTTCGTGATTTTAATTGCAAGCACCCTGGGCTTACAATTAAAATCACTAGCCTCAAAGCAAGGTAGTGCACGATAACACCCAAAGTTATCAGCACAAGGGCCAGATCGTCGAGCTCGCCGTGGGGGTGTCAAATCGCTCTCTTTAGCCTCCCACGAAAGCAACAACAAAAACCTTGGCACCTAGAGGTCCAGGTAAGCCCTTGTAGTGACTGGGTCAAGATTGGTCTCCCTTTTATCCGGCCAGAGGGGGCGCTAGGGGCGCAAACAGGCGTGGGTGAAGCGAGGGGCAGTGAGCGTAGGGCACGCACATGGCGCCCCTGCTAGA